CACACCCGTGCTTATTGCAGCACTGTTCACAATAGCCAAGATATAGAAGCAAGCTGAATGTCTATCAATAGATAAATGGAAAACGAAACTGTGGTATTTATATACAATGGAGTACTATTCAGCCATTAAAAAGAATGAGTTCCTATCATTTGCAACTCATTGCATAATGGAGGTCATTATGTTAAGTAAAATAAGCAAGACACAGAAAGACAAACGTAACATGTTCTCACTTATTTGTAGCATCTAACAAATCAAAACAACTGATCTCATGGACATAGAGAATAGAAGAATGGTTACAAGAGGCTGGGAAGCATAGTGAGACATTGTGTGGAGGTTGGGAGGGTTAATGGGTACCAAAAAATAGAATGAATAAGATCTATTATTTGATGGCACAATAGGGTAACTGTAGTCAATAATAATTTCATTGTACTTTTTCAAACAAGCTTGTCCAATCTGTGGCCCATAGGTCTCATGCAGCCCAGCATAGCTCTGAATGCATCCCAACACAAATTCATAAACTTTCTTATAAATTAGGAGTTTCTTGGCAATTTATTTTAGCCCATCAGTTATCATTAGTATTAGTGGATATTATGTGTGGCCCAAGACAATTCTTCCAATGCGGCCCTGGGAAGCTAAAAAATTGAACACCCCTGTTTTAAAATAACTAAAAGAGTAAAATTAAATTGTTTGTAACACAAAATAGAAATGTTTGTGGGGAAAGATACCTCATTTTTCATGATGCAATTATTATGCATTGCATGTTTCTATCAAAATATCTCATGTACCCCATAAATATATACACCTACTATGTACCCATAAAAACTAAAAATTACAAAAACAAACAAAATCAAAATACATAAGAAACACAAACAACTCAAAAACAAGGAAAAAAAACAATTTAAAGGTAGGCAATGGACCTGAATAGACATTTTTCAAAAGACATACAAATGTCCAACGAATATATTTTAAAATGCTCAACCTTCCTAATCACTAGGGAAATACAAATTAAAACCACAATGAGACATCATATCATACCTGTCAGAAAGGTATAATGAAAAAGAGGAACGATAGCAAGTGTTGGCAAGAATGTGAAGAAAGGGGATTATTTGTACACTATTGGGAAAGTAAACTAGTAAACCCATTATGGAAAACGTGATGAAAGTTCCTCAACAAGCTAAAAATAGGTATTACCGTATGATCCAGCAATCCTACGTCTAGGTATCTGCCCAAAAGATTTCAAATAAGTTTGTCAGAGATAGCTGCTCCTCCATGTTCATTGCAGCACTCTTCACAATAGCCAAGATATGGAATCAACATGAGTCCATCAACAGATGAATGGATAAATAACGTGTGGTATATGTACACAATGTAATACTATTCAGACTTTAAAAAGAAAGAAATTCTGTTACTTTTGACAATATAGATGGAACTGGAGAACAATATGTTAAGCAAAATAAGCCACCCACAGAAAGACAAACGCTGTGTGTCCTAACATCCATAGAATCTACAACAATCAAGTTCATAGAAGTAGATAGTAGAATGGTGGATACAGACACCAGAAGTTGGAAGGAATGGGGAGATAATGGTTAAAAAGAATGAAATCTCAGTTAGAGAGAAAGGATTTTAAAAAATATTTATTGCACATCATAGTGAATGCAGTTAATAATAGTGTGTTGTACAGTTCAAAATTGCTAAGAGAGTAAACTTCAAATATTCTCACTATGAAAAACAAGTATTTGAGGCTGGACATGGTGGCTCACACCTGTAATCTCAACACTTTGGGAGGCTGAAGAGGGTGGATCACTTGAGCCCAGGAGTTTGAGACCAGCCTGGGAAATATGGCAAAACCCTGTCTCTTAAAAAATGCAAAAAATTAACCAAGTGTGGTGGCATGCACCTGTAATCCCAACTACCTAGGAGGCTAAGGTGGGAGGACCACCTGAGCCTAGGAGGTTGAGGTTGCAGTGAACCGTGATTGCACCACTGCACTCCAGCCTGGGTGACAGAGTGAGACCCCTGTCTTAAAAACAAAAAAAATTGAGGTGGTGGATATGTTAATTAGCTTGATTTAATTATTCCACATTGTATTTATAAATTCATTTTGCACCCCACAAATATATACAATTATGAATTGTCAACTTATGATAAAAATGAAATAAATATATATATGGCAGGAACTTGAAAGACAATCTATAAAATAAAGAAATTAGAAATTTAGGCCAAAGTATTAGAATGTAGATAAATAAAACTACATATACATAATTCAGTTTAAAAGAAGGCAAAAATAAAGAACTCTGAAATGTAAATAAATCCATTTTTAAAAACAGATTATTTCATTTTCTCTACTTTATTTCAAGAAAAATTGAAGTAACAAATTGAGAAATAAAACCAAAGGAAAGAAGTTTACTGAACTACATTTAAAAGCTAAAAATGTTAAATGAATGACCAATAAAACAGTCATTATTAAAAGGGAAATTTAAAAAGGAAAACATGGGACATGGAAAAAAACTATAAAATCTTTAAAAGTTAATGACGAAACATATTTACATACCATATTCTAAGTGGGAAGACTCAGATTTAAATAGGAAAAATATTTTAAACATTGTGAAAGTAAAAGCAGTAGGTGAAAATACAGAAGAATCCTTATCTAAGAAAATATTTTTAAGGAAGATATGAAACACAGAAGCTATAAGGAAGAGAATGGACAGGTTTTCTGCATTTCTTGTGGCAAAAGACAGACTGTAAACACTATGAAAGTTCAAAATAAGAAAAATAGGTTTGCCACCTATTTTCTGGCTCACCTACCTGAGCCAGAAAGCAGGTAGAAAAACACGGCAGTTAAGAGCAAAGTTTCTCGAGTCAATCTCGAGTTTGCTTCTTGCTTTGCCGCTTACTGGCTGGCAAGTTATTTAATTTTATGCCTCAGACTTCTCATCTCTAAAATGGGATCATCATATGACCTCATGGGGCTGGAGAGGATTAAATGAGTGACTACTTACATAGCACATGGAATGCTGGCACTTTGTAAGTGCTCAACATATACTCTTATTAATTTATCGAAAACTTCTACCAACAAGAAAATAATAAGATATCCCCTACAGATGGTTAAAATATATGAACTACCAGCTTACAGAAGAAATAGAAAATCTACTGTTCATATATATATATATAATAGCCTTGCCATCAAAGAAGTTCAAACCAAATTGAGGTATTAATTTCTTCTCAAATGGGCCAAAAAATATTAAAGTATTCATGAGGATATAGGCAAATAAATTATCTCATATGCATTCTTCTTTTTTTCTTTTTTTAGTATAAAATTGAGATGGGGTCTTACTATGTTGCCCAGGCCAGTCTGCTGGGCTCAAGTGATCCTCCTTCCTTGACCTCCAAAGTGCTGGGATTGCACTCATGAGCCAGTGCACCTGGCCTCATATGTTCTCTTGATAAGGGTATAAATAGTTACCATATTTTAAATGACATGTTATTGGTTTCTTTTACAATTTATACTTTAACACTGAAATTTCATTCATAAAAATTTATCCTTCAAGTATGCAGGGGTGTGTGTGTGTGTGTGTGTGTACACTAAAGTGTTTTTTACAATAGTGGTATGATAGCAACAAAAACTAAAGCAACTAAATGTCCATTAATAGGATTCTTAATGATAAAGCCTTTTAAAAGAATATAGCTATCTTTATACCAACTAATTTTAAATGAATAAAGCAAGTTGCACAATGGTATGTGTACATTTTAAATATATATGTTTACATTGGCATAGGCGAAAGTCTGGAAAAATCTATATCAAATTATTGACAATAGTTATCCTTTGAGAAGTGATGTGGAGGTAGGAGGTGGTGGGAAAATTCAAAGTGACATTTGCTTTTTGCTTTTATGCATTTCTGTAATGTACCAGTATTTTTTTCAAATAATTGTACTTTATTTTTGCATTTGAAAGTAATGCAAACCTGGGATGAAAAAGCTATAATAAGACAAGCTTTTAAAAACAATGAAAAGTAGTAAAAATAAGACTAAAACTATATAAAGTAAAAATATCTACCATATAAACAAAAGGAGAAAAAAGGAAGTTAAAACTGCAATAGGGTTTTGGTTGTAGGAAATCCCTTCCCATGGTGAGGTATTGAGTCTTTCCGGCAGGATAAGGCTACATCTGAAAAAATAATGGCAAACCAGTGCCTGAGATGGAAGAGTCCAGTCCATGGCTACTGTGATGATTCTGAAGAGCAAGGACCTTGGTCTAGATCCCACTGAGACCTCATCCTGTTCTAGAATTCTTTGGGCCTGAGTGATGCCCTTATAGAGAGCAAAATACCAAGAATTCAGAAGCAGGCTATGTGAGCACTCAATAGAAGGGAATCAGGGAGTGTGGGCAATCCTAAACTCTGAAGTCAATTTTTCAAGAAAACAGAGAATGCTATTTTATATCAGCCTGAGTTGCCATTAAGGGTAGTGCAATAGTTTGGATATTATCCCTCCAAACCTTATGTTGAGATTTGATCCCCATTGTTGGAGCTGGGGCCTCATAAATAGCATAATTCCTCACAAATGGCATGGTGCTGTACTTGTGGTAACGAGTGAGTTCTTGCTCTATTAGTTTCCAGGACAGCTGGTCATTGCAAAGAGCCTGGCACCTCCCCCAACCTCTCTTGGCTTTCCTCCCTCACCATGTGATCTCTGCACATGTCAGCTCCCCTCCCCTTCTGAATGAGTGGAAACAGCCATGGGCCCTCACCAGAAGCAGATGCTGGTGCCCTACTCTTGTACTGCCTGCAGAACTGTGAGCCAAATAAACCTCTTTTCTTTGTAAGTGACCCAGCCTCAGGTATTCCTTTATAAAAACACAAATGGACTAAGACAAGTACTGATGGCTTCAGGGTGGGTGCCTGTGGCGCTGTCCTCCACACTGATCATTCAGGGCCCCTAGCAGAACTCACCCTGTATACCCTTCATATCCCTGGGCAATCACACAGGGCCCAGAGCCTCACCAGAAGTCTCGAATTCTCCACACCATGTGAGGTCATCAGCAAGGTAGCCTAGCAGTGTGTCCTCCAGGGTGAACACGTCCCGCTGGATCTCTGTGTACTGATGGGCCAGATGTTTTGTTCTGCTCCAAAGAAGAGTCTAAGAAAAAATAAATACAATCTATTACTAAGATCAGTTTAGCATGTCAATAAATAAATACACAGTTTTGTAAATGAAAGAAAACCGAGCATATCAGAGTAAATCACACTTAGAGTAAGAACTATAGGCATCAATGATTTCTGTGTGATGGAGAGTGGGGAAGAGAGAGAGAGTGTCTGTGTGTGTGTGTGTGTGCACGCACGCTTTCTAGATCACATTGTAAGTAAATTTATTATTCTAGGTTGGAGTCAAAAAAAGTCTGAAAGCCACTGATCAAAACCTTATAATCAACATGGGATCACATCTGGAGGTGGCATTAGAGAGTTCCAATATTCCTAAGGTTATTTCCAAAAAAACTTTGTCTATGTGCTATTTTCAGGAAGATGTACTCTTTGATTCTTTAAGAACTATATAACCCCTTCCAATTTCCCTAACCCCTATCAAAAAAAAATACAATAGATTTTTTTAAATTTAAGGGTCCATCTTAAAGGTACAGAGAGTCAAATTTCAGAATTATATTTCATGAATCTATTCATTCTTTTTTTTAATTTTAATTTTAAGTTCTGGGGTACATATGCAGGATGCGCAGGTTTGTTACATAGGTAAATGTGTGCATGGTGGTTTGCTGCACCTATCAACCTATCACCTAGGTATTAAGCCCAGTATGCATTAGATATTTTTCCTAATGTTCTCACTCCCTCTACCCCTACCCCGACAAGCCACAGTATGTGTTTTTCCCTCCCGGTGTATTCGTTTTCCAGCTCCCACTTATAAGTGAGAACATGCAGTGTTTGGTTCTCTGTTTCTGTGTTAGTTTGCTGAGGATAATGGCTTCCAGCTCTACTATGTCCCTACAAAGGATATGATCTTTTTCCTTTTTATAGTTTCTTTTTCAATTTTCTGGGTATGGCTAGGCAGTTCTGAAGCACCAGTTACTAAATAGGGAATCTTTTCCCCATTGCTTGTTTTTGTCAGGATTGTCAAAGATCAGATTGCTGTAGATGGGCAGTTTTATTTCTGAGATCTTTACTCTGTTCTGTTGGTCTGTCTATTTTCATACCAGTACCGTGCTATTTTGGTGTATCCTTGTAGTATAGTTTGAAGTTGGGTAGCATGATGCCTTCAGCTTTGTTCTTTTTGCTTAGGATTGTCTTGGCCATATGAGCTTTTGGGTTCCATATAAATTTTAAATTAGTTTCTCCTAATTCTGTGAAGAATGTCAATGGTAGTTTAATGGGAATAGCGTTGAATCTATAAATTACTTTGGGCAGTATGGTCATTTTCACAATATTGATTCTTCCTACCTATGAGGATGGAATGCTTTTTGATTTGCTTTTGTCCTCTCTGATTTCCTTGAACAGTGGAGTGTAATTGCCCTTGAAGAGGTCCTTCATTTCCCCTGTTAGCTCTATTTCCAGGTTCTTTATTCCCTTTGTGAATGGGTGTTCATTCATGATTTGGCTCTCTGCTTGCCTGTTGTTGGTGTATAGGAATGTTTGTGATTTGTGCACAGTGATTTTGTATCCTGGGACTTTGCTGAGGTTGCTTATCCCCTTAAGGAATTTTTGGGCTAAGACATGGGGTTTTCTAAATATTCAGTCATGGCATCTGTAAACAAAGACCACTGGACTTCCTTTCCTCCTATTTGAATAGACTTTCTTTCTTTCTCTTGCCTGCTTCTCCAGCCAGAACATCCAATACTATGTTGAACAGGAATGATGAGAGAGGGCTTTCTTGTCTTGTGCCAGTTTTCAAGGGGAATGCTTCCAGCTTTTACCCATTCAGTATAATATTGCCTGTGGGTTTGTCATAAATGGCTCTTATTATTTTGAGATATGTTCCATCAGTACCTAGCTTTAACATGAAGAGATGTTGAATTCTATTGAAGGCCTTTTCTGCAACTATTTAGATAATCATGTGGTTTTGGTCTTTAGTTCTGTTTATGTAATGAATTACGTTTCTTGATGTGTTTATGTTGAATCAGCCTTGCATTCCAGGGATGAAGCAAACTTGATCATGGTAGATAAGCTTTTTGATGTGCTGCTGGATTCAATTTGCCAGTATTTTATTGAAAATTTTTGCATTGATGTTCATCAGGGATATTGGCCCTAAGTTTTCTTTTTTTTGTTTTATCTCTGCCAGGTTTTGGTATCAGGATGATGCTAGCCTCATAAAATGAGTTAAGGAGGAGTCCCTCCTTTTCAATTTTTTGGAATAGTTTCAGAAGAAAAGGTATCAGCTCCTCTTTGTACCTCTGGTAGAGTTCAGCTGTAAATCTGTCTGGTCCTGAGCTTTTTCCTTTCTTTTCTTTCTTTTTTTTTTTTTTTTTTTTGGTGGTAGACTATGTATTACTACCTCAATTACAGAACTTGTTACGTGTCTATCCAGAAATTCAGCTTCTTCCTGGTTCAGTCTTGGGAGGCTGTATGTGTTCAGGAATTAATCCATTTCTTCTAGATTTTCTAGTTTATTTGCATAGAGCTATTTACAGTATTCTCTGACAGTTGTACCTCTGTGGAGTCAATGGTAATATCCCTTTTATCATTTCTTATTGTATCTATCAGATTCTTCTGTATTTTCCTTTTTATTAGTCTAGCCAGCAGCCTATATATTTTATTAATTGTTTTCAAAAAACAACCTCCTGTATTCATTTATTTTTTGAAGGGCTTTTTGTGTCTCTATCTCCTTCAGTTCTGCTCTGGGCTTGGTTATTTCTTGTCTTCTGCTAGCTTTGGGATTTTTTTTCCTTGGCTCACCAGTTCTTTTAATTGTGATGTTAGGATGTCAGTTTGATCTCTTCCTAGCTTTTTGATGTGGGCATTTCGTGCTATAAATTTCCCTCTTAACAGAGCTTTAGCTGTGACTCAGATATTCTGATATGTTGTCTATTTGTTACTATCAGTTTCAAAGAACTCATTAATTTCTGGCTCAATTTTATTATTTACCCAAGAGTCATTCAGGAGCAGGTTGTTCAATTTCCATGTGATTGTGTGTTTTTGAGTGAGTTTCTTAATCTTGAGATCTAATTTGATTGTGCTGTGGTCTGTGAGACTGTTATGATTTTAGTTCTTTTGCATTTGCTGAGGAGTAATTTACTTCCAATTGTGTGATCAATTTTAGAGTAAATGGCATGTGGTGCCAAGAAGAATATATATACTGTTGATTTGGCATGGAGAGTTCTGTAGATATCTATCAGGTCTACTTGATCCTCAGTTGAGTTCAGGTCCTGAATATCTTTGTTAATTTTCTGTCTTGATGATCTGTCTAATACTGACAGTGGGGTGTTAAAGTCTCCTACTATTATTGTGTGGATGTCTAAGTTTCTTTGTAGGTCTCTAAGAACTTGTTTTATGAATTTGGTGTTCCTGTATTGGGTGCACATATATTTATAATAGTTAGCTCTTCTTGTTGAATTAAGCCCTTCATCATTATGTAATACCTTTTTTATCTTCTTTGATCTTCGTTGGTTTAAAGACTGTTTTGTCATGAACTAGGATTGCAACCCCTGCTTTTTTCTGTTTTCCATTTGCTTGGTAAATGTTCCTCCATCCCTTTATTTTGAGCCTATGTGTGTCTTTGCATGTGAGATGGGTCTTTTGTATACAGTACACCAATTGATCTTGACTCCATCCAACTTTCCATTCTATATCTTTTAATTGGGAAATTTAGTCCATCTACATTTAATGTTAATATTGCTATGTGTGAGTTTGATCCAGTTATTACGGTGCTAGCTGGTTATTTTGAAGACTTGTTTATGTAGTTGCTTCACAGTGTCATTGGTCTGTGTACTTCAGTGTGTTTCTGTAGTGGCTGATAATGGTTTTTCCTTTCCGTATTTAGTGTTTTCTTCAAGAGCTCTTGCAAGGCAGGCCTGTGGTGATGAATTCCCTCAGCATTTGCTTGTTTGAAAAAGATTTTATTTCTCCCTCATTTATGAAGCTTAGTTTGACTGGATATGAAATTTGAGGTTGAAGATTCTTTTCTTTAAGAATGTTGTATATTGGCCCCCAATCTCTTCTGGCTTGTAGGGTTTCTTCTGAGAGGTCTGCTATTAGTTTGATGGTCTCCGCTTTGTAAGTGACCTGGAGAATCTGATGATTATGTCTTGGGGTTGATCTTCTCATGGAATATCTTACTGGGGTTCTCTGGATATCCTGAATTTGAATGTTGGCCTGTCTTGCTAGGATGAGGAAGTTCTCCTGGATGATATCCTGAAGTGTGTTTTCCAATTTGGTTTCATTCTTACTGTCTCCTTTAGGTACCCTAATTAGTCATAAGTTCTTTTTACATAATCTCATAGTTCTCAGAGGTTTTGTTTGTTCCTTTTCATTCTTTTTTCTGTAATCTTGTCTGCCTGTCTTATTTCAGCAACATAGTCTTCAACCTCTGATATTCTTTCTTCCATTTGGTCTATTAGGTTATTGATACTTATGTTTATATTGTGAAGCAAACATGTTGTGTTTTTCACTCCATCAGGCCATTTATGTTCCTCTCGAAACTAGATATTCTGGTTAATAGCTCCTATGTTTTATCATGGTTCTTAGCTTCTCTGCAGTGGGTTAGAACATACTCCTTTAGCTCAGTGAAGTGCATTACTACACATCTTCTGACGCTTATTCTGTCAATCCATTCATCTCAGCCTCAGCCCAGTTCTGTGCCCTTGCTGGAGACGTGTTAAGATAATTTGGAGGAGAAGAGGCACACTGGCTCTTTGAGTTTTCAGCATTTTTGTGCTGATTCTTTCTCATCTTCATGGGTTTATCTACCTTTTTTATCTTTGAGACTTCTGACCTTTGGATGGTTTTTTGTGGGATCTTTTTCATTGATGTTGTTGCTTTCTGTTGGTTTTTATTTTAGCAGTCAGACCCCTCTGCCATAAAGCTGCTGCAGTTTGCTGGGGGTTCACTCCAGGCCCTATTCACCTGGGTTCCTCCTGTACCTGAAGGTATCGCCAGTGGAGGCTATAGAATAGCAAAGATGGCAGCCTGCTTCTTCCTCTG